TCAAAAGCTAACATAGTTAAAGTATGAGCACTAACATTAACTAATCTAGAAATAATATTTGAAGAGCAATAAGATAAAAGGATTATAGCTGCCCGGCATCGCTCTTTAATTTAGTTCTATAATACCTCAATTTCAACAAATAAATATGCAATTCAATGGTTATTGGTATTCATCACATCCCATGTTATACAATTAATTCCACATTCCTAACCTCAAAGTTAACTAGTTAAGTGGCTAAATTTATCCAAACCGTTATTATTATCTTCTTTTTGGTGATGAAAGAAACCTGTCACCACTATTCGAAAGTGTGCACCACTTAAATCTAGTCTTTGTAATTTTATCACACAAAGAATCATAAAGAGGAAAATTAATCTAAATTGTGCATAATTAATCAGTTCAGTTCAAAATGACCAATAACCTAGTCTTACAAAAAGTCGAATTTGGAACCTTTACTATTTCGAGCCTATAAGAATGTAAACTTTAACTGAAGCCAAACTGTTTGTAGGATTCAAAGAGCATCCCCCTTAAGGGGATTGTTCACGGTTTTTAATGAAAAATGCCAACATTTAAGAAAGAGAAGCAAGTGAGAGATATGAAAATTGCTCCTGCAAAATGGGGTTTTTCGCAGAAAGTGAGGCCCGCCACAAATTAATGCCAGCTACTTGTATCTCGCGTGGGGTTTTTTAAAAACCGTTGTCGTTGTTGTGTTGTCTTTTTCTCAAATTGCACAAAAACAACACACTTATGACAACCGTTAAGTGAAAATCGTTGTCTTAGAAAAAAGTACGTGTTGCATCAAAGACAACGGTTTTACACCAAACTGTTGTCTTTTATACAAAAGACAACACTTTTATTAAAAATTATTGTCTTTCTAGTGTTGTCTATGTGTATTTTTTTTTTTGTAGTGTGCGTCCAACGTGTGCGTTTTTGGCACTATTTACGACATTTTTTTTTTTGAAATCAGATTTTTTATGTTTTAGATTTTTTTTTTTCTCTTCCCTCTCATCTTCTTTTTCTTAATCACACTTACAAAAATTTCTCAAAAATCAAAAACAAAAACTCTACTATTGAGGATGCCCTAGTTCCAATCCTATTGTTGTCAAAAAAAAAAAAAGAAAAAAAAAAAAAAGGAAGTTCCAATCCGATTCTTACCATAATTAGTTGGGTGCCAAATTAGGCCTGCAAAGCCCGTTTCGCTTAAAATGGGTCAATGGGACAGCCAAGAAGAGTTGGGTACCAATTTTATCATTAAATGAATAAAGATATCTGAATCCAAGCAAGATATGATAACGATATCTGAATCCTAATAATAAGATTGGAGCAAAACTGTGGATCATGGTACAAAAATAAAGTCATATCTTTACTTAAAAGAAACGGCCACTGTTATATTTAACAAAAATTTTATATTTATGATGTGTATAAAATAAAATGAAACTGAATACTATATCTCACATATTGAGTATATATTATTAAATGAAATTGTAATTAAATTGAAATTATTTTAATTGAATTAAAATGAAACCTAATATATATACCAACTGCAAAAGTGTATCGTATCTGGCCTACTTACCTAAGCCTCTTCAAGAGGCAGGCTAATTTCATTAATTTTCATTGGTATTTTGAGTCTTTTGGCCCAAGAGATTTTAAAGCAATCGTTATTCATTAGAATCGTGTCCACCTTGCAGGGTGAACACGTTTCTATGTTCATAATTATTGAAGTATATGTTTATAATTATAAATATTCATACTTTTTGAATTTCATATTCATAATTCTTGAACTCTATATTCACAATTACAGAACTCTATGTTCATAATTACTAAACTATATGTTCATAATTATAAAATTATATATTCATAATTTTTGAACTTTATATTCACAATTATTGAATCTCTATATTCATAATTACAGAACTATATGTGCATAATTATAAAACTATATGTTTATAATTTTTGAACTAATTATATATTCATAATTATGAACAGTTTTGGAACTGCAAGATGAACACGATTCCACAGTATAATTTGCCATTTCAAAGCATTTAATTTGGTCGGTCGAAATTTGGCGAGTATGGTCATATGTTTTGCGTCAAACCAGCTACTAGTATAGAAATCCAGATTAGACCACAAGAAATATGAAATGGTAGGCAATCTAAATTTGGTTCAAAAAAGGTATTCAAACCTTTGAAAAGGCAGCAGTCCATCGAGCATTCAAACGCACGAGTTGACTATATATGGTACACCCGTGTTAACATAGTGTATCACGCAAAAAGGACAAGTTATTAGTGACTATATGATTTATCTAATTAGATGTTGTTGAATTGAAGATCAACGGAGAGCACAGAGTTAATCTGTGCTCTGTTGATCTTCATCATGAATATGATTATAAACATCCGTTTTGGATATATCCAGGATTTTCACTGTCGGACACAGTGACTAATCCTCTCATTGAATTGTAGGCACCTCTTTTGGGTGAGACAACTGATCTAGAAATTTAAAATTGCTCAATTCTCAAAGTCAAGAATCGAATCTTTGACCTTTGGTTAAAGATGGATGAATCCCTTCCACTCAACTATACCCTCAAGGTTGATTATGAACATCCTATATGCATATATGCTAAGTTGATTTCTACAATTTTATTGGATTATTGCACAAAAAGTTTGTAGCTTAGAGATCGCGCAATTGTCTCGGTCAACAACGTAACCTAAACAAAAGAGGTTGTGGTGCGGGTTAGTTGTACATTCAACATATCCTTTAAGTACGTGTACCAATCACTTGGCCAATTAACTGGTTTCTCGACCAACTATGGTCATCAAGGTATTATTATATTTTTTCACACTTTCTATTTTCCAGATTGATTAGTTAAAAGAGAAAGAAAATAAGACAAATGTCTAACTATTCTAAAAAATATATAATCAGTCAACACACCATCTGATAGGATAGGGTGACTTTTAAAAAAGTTCATCGATTACGGGTTGGAGGTGAGAGTAGATTAAGAAAATATATGGACGGATTGAGTGGTGAATGTAGTTACTCATGACCCGCCTCAGCTCGTTACTATATCTATTAGAGATTAGAGATAATAGTATGAATAAAATTTAAATTATTAAAGAGCTTATTAATCTTGACAAAATGAATGCACCTTATATATATATTAGGGTTTTTTTTTTTTTTTTTTTGAAAGCATATATATATATATATATTAGGGTATAGTTTGATGGGATTGGTCTTGCATATACATTTTTACTTTATATGGTGTGTACACATTACATAATTTAGGGTGTATAGAGAATCAGAAACTGAATGGTTATCAAATATTTGGTAATGATAATAGATTTTGGTGAAAGTATTTTGCATGTTTGGTAGTATGGTGGAATTATAATGATTACTAATATTGATGTTTGGTTATGTATGACCCTATAATGAGAATATATACATGTTTTGTTTTTTTTTTTTTTTTGAAGATAAATGTTTTTTTTTGAAAATATAAAAACAAAAAACAAGGCAATTGATCATAATATATAATGATTCCACATCACTAATATGAAAAAAAAAAATCAAAACAAAAATAACAAAAGTACTAATCTAACTTAAAATTCATATTACCAATAAGATGAAATGATACTCGTTTTTAATTAGATAATAAGGTTTTTAATTGATGGATAATTAGATCTCATAGTTATATTTTAAAAAGTTATCAACTAAACACTAACAATGATTTTGATTTATATTTCTAATGTGTAAACCTATGAACCAAATATTACCCTATCAACAAAACAGTTTTTTTAAAAGCGGGATAACTAAACTGATTAAAAACTTATACATTTCGTATTATATAGATTCATGGTTTAATTATTATTTAGATGTGAAGTAATTAAGTACTCCGTAATATTTAGTAGAGTCAACTACCATATAGTGTAATGACATCTCGGTTACTAATCCAAATGATGATTATAAGTTCAAACTCCAATAGTGAATCATGAGTATTTTAAAAATATAAAAGAAGTTATATTTAGCTTATTCAGTAAATTCATTTTGCATTGTATATCTTAATCTAAAACATTAAGAATAATCCATGAACCACCAAAATTCACTTATGTACATGTAATTAATATTTTATGTGTATGTAATTAAGATATAATTTTTGGACCATAATATAACAATTCTTAAATTAATTAACCGCAAGCAACCTCGAAGCGTGTTTACATTGGAACTCTACCAACTCAAAAAGGGATTCAAATATTCAACCCTTTTTTAAAAAAACTAATAAGCCAGTTCAACAACGACCTTTTTGTCGACCACCTTCTCCAAAGACTTGAAATCAAACCCCTCTACAAAAGTTGTCAAACACCAACATTTTGACTATGTCACATGATGCATGCTGACATTGCTGCGTTTACACGAAATCGATCTCTATTCACTAAAATTCCTTTTTTATTATCTTTTTATAATAAAGAAAGAAATTTGGGCATTTATTACGAGATCAGTTGATTTTTAGAAGTTTCATTAGCAGTAAGTCCACTTATAAACTGTTCAAAATAATAAGTGATAAGAAATACGGAGTTTATATTATTCTTGATTTCTATCCAAATCTAATTGCATAAATTGGACTAATGAGTTGTTATGCCTGTAATAAGCTTAGTCCCGAACATCGGGCATCGTTTGGAAGTCCCATTTTTTGGGAATAAGAGAATATGAAGATTGTTACTCATTCCGAACGCGACTGGACAATAGTTACCGAGCATGGGCAGATCATGTCAAGTTGCCAACACATCCCATCAGGCAAAGACACTTAACTCACTCTATCTTACAGCTAACAAATCACTACAAGACAGTTAAGTGCATGAAAGACATTTAAAAAAAAATACATGAAAGACATGTCGCATGGTCAACATGTGTCTTTTCAACTATCATCCTACTATGCTCGCACTCCCCACTTGTACTTAATCCGTTAGACATTGTAATTAATCAGTATCCACCCGTTTGTGAGCACTATTGTTAAGTTAATAAAGGATGATATCAATATTGTTCCACTAGAGAGATTCGATGCTGGATCTTTACAATTGATTTAATAAAAAAATAAGAATTAAAAAAAAAAAGTCATGTGAGTTTGGGGCCGGGTTACAATCCTACACAATTTCTGGAGGTAGTAACCCCACCATCCACAACAAGATTGTGCCCACTCACATATCTAGATTCATCACTTGCCAAGTAAAGAGCTGCTTCTGCAATGTCTCGAGCTTTTAGAGTCGCGCCTTTCAAGTTCCCCAGCCCTCTCACGAACTCCTCCATCTTCTCCACTTCGTTCTCCAATGGCGGCATCCCAAAGCTGATCTCGTTCTCTTCCTCTTCTTCGGGGGAATGGCGCCATGCGTTGATTAGCATGGAGGTGGCCACCCCGAAGGGGGATATGCAGTTCACCCTTATCCCGTACCGGCCGAGCTCGCAGGCGGCGTTCTTGGTTAGCCCGACGATGGCGTGCTTGGAGGCGGTGTAGGCGTGTGGGCCCATCCCGCCCATGACCCCCGCCACGCTGGAGGTGGAGATGATGCAGCCGCCGCCGCGGGGGATCATGGCCCGCGCCGCGTGCTTCATGCCCAGGGCCACGCCCCGGACGTTGATGCTCATTACTCTGTCGAACTCCGCCGCGTCGAAATCAAGAATGCTCTTCCGCTTCGACTGGTTTCCCAGCACGCCGGCGTTGCTGAACAGGATGTCCAGGCCGCCGTGCCTCGACACCGTGGATTCGATTAGGCGCTCCACGTCTTCCTCGGAGCTGACGTCGCACCGGACGTAGGTGACCGACGGTGACAGCGCCTCCGCCAGCGCCTTGCCCAGCACGTCCTCCACGTCGGCTATCACCACTTTGGCGCCGTGCATGGCGAACAGCCTCACCGTCGCCTCCCCAATCCCTCTAGCTCCACCCGTTATAATTGCAACCTTCCCTTCTAATCTGTACCAAAAAAAATAGCACCAAACGTTAATCACCTAATGTTAGGTCAATCCCGTCCAAATTTGTCACACTATTGACTGGATAAAGTGATATATTGACCTTCTGAGTTTGAGCTAATTAGCTGATTAGCAGTTTTGATTCAAACAGGGTTTAATTACATACTCTCAAATAGGGACTGTGGGCTTTCTCGTGACTAAAGAAATGCATTAATGATTAAAAACAAAAAGGAAGAAGCACTACTATACATACCTTTTAGTGAAGGCGGGCGAAGTGATTTCTTTGGGTAAGGGACAAACCCCGGCAGCAAATACATTCTCAGACATCACTTGAGCAGCCGGCATTTTGTCTGAGAACAGGTATGAAATAATTATACTGAGAGAGAGAGAGAGAGAGAGAGAGAGATCAGATAACGTTTCTTGTGTATGTATAGATAGAGGGAGAAAGCAGAGAGAGAGAGAGAGAGAGAGATGGGTAGAATGAAGAGAGGAAGATGAGAGAAATATATATAGTATTTGCAGTGGAAGGCAAATGGTGTTTGGTGAGGTAAATAATATAATGGTTCCTATGAGAATCTTTATTTGAATTGAAGGAAGGCAACTTCCTCAGCAATTTCCCTTCACATTTCACCCAGGCCAAACACAACACAATTCTGCTGGATTTCCCTTTTCTCCTTCGCTCCTAAAACTCTAACTACCGTTATATATGGTGAAATATAATCAAAGATAATAATTATAAACATACCAAAAACAAGATCAGGAAAAACACATCATTATTTACAATATTGATAGTAGTATGTATGTGTGTGTGTGAAAGAATAAGCTTACAAGTAAAAAGTCACTACTAATCTGATCCATCCTTTTAGGTATATCGTCAGTTGAAGGTGATTGAAAAATAAGGGGAAAATGGGTATATTAATTTTAATGAGCGGTTGTGATTCGTCCTCACCAATATGGTGGTAGTCCTATAAAGGGTGAGGGTTGATCTTATTAATATTTTAGTAATAAAAATTAAGGTGGTTAAAGAACACCATCATTTTTCCCCTTATTTTTCAGAAACCATCAATTAACTTGAAACTTTGTGATTACTAAGTCAACAAATTAACCAACTTGGTTGAGGTTGCCCTATATGTTTCTATGATATGATGGGTCACACTTGTGTGTGACCGTCTCACTGATCCTTATCCGTGAGACGACGGACCGGGTCAATATGCGAATGTAGTAATACTAATGAGGAATAAAGTGTTTTTTAGAAAACGTAATACTCTTGAGTACAAATGTAATAGGAAAAACATAATAATTTGGATGAAAAAAGTAATATTTTACATCAAAATGTAAAATATAATTCTCATATAATTTCATCTTCACCCGACCTGTCTCACGAACAAATTTTTTACCTTATATAATTTTTCACATATAAGTTGTATACGTAATTTATCCATCATATTCAATTTTATACTGCACGAATGTGTATATATACACATATATACTACGGAGTAAAAGTGAATAACTGTAACCACGCACCCTCCAGCTTTTGTGGAATCATGCGTCCCGAGTGTTTGATATATATGCCCAAATTCTGTGATTTCAAACCACCAGTCCCAGACATCATTATTAATGAATCGTCCGATTTAGGTAACATCATATCGCAGGTTGTTGACTAGTTGCACAGCTGACAGGTTTAAGATGGCTGAATCAACCAAAAGAAGACATTGTCAAAAGTCTATTAATGGATGCTCCTATTATTAATTCACCGTCCTAAACAACCAAAAGTACCATCACATCAATGTTGAACATAATGTATAACAAATAATTAATGCACACTGCACAGTCTTATTATGAGAAATGTATACTTTGTATTGGTATAAGAGTTAGAGCATACGAAATAACATTTGACTATGTCCACATAAAAGTCATAAAGAGATGAATATAAATAGCAACACTCATGAGAGAGTAATATATGTATTAATTGACAAGGAATCTACACACTGTGGCTGCCAAGGTTTGAACCTTGGTCTCCTCTCCCAAATCTCTCAAATACTACCCACTAAAATCATTGAGTTAAGCCCATACGGGCATTAACAATATTTTCTACATATATAGGTAATTAAGTTATTGAATATATAACCACCGCCCCCACCACTATATATATATATATGATCCATATAGTTAGCCTGGTGCGGCCGAGACACCGCCACTGCCTCACGAACAGCCTGGTGCAGCCGAGACACCGCCACCGCCTCACAGACAACCGGCTGCACTTGTTGTTACGGACGCCCTACTGCCACGGAGAATTTTCCGCGTCGACGCCGGATTCCTCCACGAGACGGGCAAAGCTACGGTAGGAGCAGTCCTTCTCGATATGAATGGGGGATATGTTGCAGCATTCCGCGCACCTCTCCCAGATTGTTTCTCACCACTTATGGCCGAGGTGTTTGCATGCAAGGAAGCCATATCATGGTTAAAAGATCGGGGTGAGCGGTCTATAGAGCTATACATGGATTGCCTGACATTTCATCGGTATCTTACTTCACCACCATCTACAGTACGTTCGATCCTACATCGGCTATGCTACTGATAGCTGCAGAGCAATTATATCTTGGTTTGATTTCTGTTCATTTCAATTTATTTCTAGATCGGACAATTATTTAGCACATATTTTTGCATTTACAGCTTTCCAGCATCCAACTGCTATGTATTGGGGTCTATTCCCACCTGATATTATTGCAGCTTTCTTCTAATGAAATTACCACTTATTATTTTCAAAAAAAAAAAAGTTATTGAATATATGGATCATAATTAGATATATGTAGTGGTGTGTATACGGGTGTCCCCCTCCCATTCTGATCTAAAAAAAAAAAAAAAAAAGATATGTGGTTGTAGACCAAATTAACAAAAAGAAATAAGTAAATTTGTGTTAGTCATTTCAAAAAGATTTTTTTCTTTTTCAAATAGATATGTGGTTGGAATAAGGAGAGAAATCTACTCTTATATAATAGCTCACAAATCACACAAGAGAACTGAACTATACTAATATATAAGGTCCTGTGGACGAGCTCGACCAGAAAAGTATTGACAAGAATCAAATTTGAGGCATTTTAATATGTGAATTATGCTTCACCCACTCGACTACCCCTTTGATACAAATCAAAACGAATTTACTTTATAGTAAATATGGTCAATTTATTATTCGCTATCTAAAGAAATCTTAAAAAATAGGCGGATGCATTTGAATTCTTATTAAAGTCATAATATATGTATTAATCGATGTAAAAGTTGTGTTATATTTATTGAGCCAGGCCATAACTTTATTGAAGTTGGAAGCTTCTTAAAGTCAAATAAGGTTTGTAAAGTCCACCTAAGATCCGCAGGAAGGCAATCTGGACAGACAAGCATGGAAACCCAAAAAAGTAGCTTGCAGCCTTAATTGCAAGCTGGGATTCCTTAAACACTGTTTTACTATACTATACTATACAATATTTAACCTATCTGTAATCCAGGTACTGTTTATGTGGATGCATGGGATGTGATGACATTTTTTTTTTGGTTGATCTAATCAGATCCATGCTTTCCTTTTGAATTTCTGCTGTCACTCAGCAACTTGGCCAAGTTTTTGTTTAAATTATTCATTGTATCTGCTACTTGGCTGGATATATATATATATATATATATATATATATATATATATATATATATATATATATATATATATATATATATATATATATATATATATATATATATATACACACACACCTAATGGTTATTTTAGGGAATCGCAATTCATTCTCACCAAACAAAGGAATTTGCTTGCCTTCGAAATTAAGTGAAAGTGAAATTCTAATTTCTTCTGATCAAACGGGTTGTGAGTGTTTAATTTTGAATAAAATGACTAAGTAATTTGTTTTATGAAAATTTTATTGGATTTCACACACACTCATATTAGCCTCACACACACTTGGATAGCTATAAATAATCTAAATTTATTTTTCTTCTTATAATTCTTTGTTAATTATGATTACAAAGTGAGCTCATCTAAAATACACCTTTCAAATTGAAAATTTTCTAGTAAATCAAAGATACAGACATTTGATTATTGGTTGGCTGTTGGCAATAGGAATAGTCAAATAAAGCTTGGAATGGGGCGGAAAAACTAGATTGGACTGCGCGAGACAAAATGCATTAATTATACAGCCTGTACAACTGTATTGTTGACACTCAAACCAAGAGATTTATACCATTCTTGGGTATATAAGTATATTCAATAGCTAAACTCATATTCTTAATTTGGTAATTTACTAGCTAAAATAATTCAGTAGTCATGCATTACCAGTGTAATTATATACTTCTTAAATATGTAATAATTATAATAATAAAATAATTGCATGTAAATATTATTCTCCTCATCCACCATGAATCATGTGGTGCCCAATCCAAGCTGGATTTGTATAAAATATAGTAATGATCCACGCCCATGAAAGTGGGAGTCCATGAGTCAAAACTTTACTCGTTTTCTGCTCAGATTTTATTTCATCAATATAATGTTTACGATTTTATAATAATAAATAATTACACTATTAAAGTCTACAAATAATACTCGTATTTTTTTTTTTTTTGAAACCAAACTGAACGACTTTCATTAAACAGCTAACGAGCCTGCAATACAAGTAGGTGGGATAACAGCCCACGACTTAGAGCCAGACGAAGAATCAGTTGTCCGAGCAAGTTCATGAGCCACATGGTTCGCTAATCTCCTGACATGAAGGACTCTAACGTCTCCTATGTCCCTAGCAATTGACAAACATTGCTTAAAGATCATACCCTCATAAGAAAAATCTAATGTACATGAATTGAAAGCATTACAAAAAGATAAACAATCGGATTCTAAGATAATACGACTATGATGCATCCCCGCTAACCACTTGAGAGCTTCATACACCGCAAGGACTTCGGCCATAAGCGGTTCCCGAGTGCAAGTAATTCGTCCGCTACGAGCCGCAACAAAGCTGCCGAGATGGTCCCGAATCACCGCTCCATATCCCGCGCCATTAACGAAAACGGCATCATCAACATTGCACTTAAGAACGTTATGAGGAGGGGGTGACCAATGAGTGATGCTAGACCGCCCGTTCGCCAGATTGGTCGAATACTCGTATTTACTACGTCATGAACGAGCAAATACCAATTTTAGTCCCACGAGTATTAACAAAATGATAGTTTTGATCCACATGTTTAATTTCTACCAATTTGTATCCATAACTATTGTTTTAGTACCAATTTTCATCCACGACTATTATTTTAGTACCAAAATTCATCACATCGATCACTCATTCGTTTAAGACATACCGAAATTTAAAAATTTTATAGGTATTTTTGTCCTTTTCGACTTAAGATCTCAATTTGAGCATGATTAAAGAGATTTAAGAGCTAAGATCGATCCAAATTCGCAACTCTCATCCTCA